GTTTAAGACTTACTAAAGACTTAAAGTACTATTATTGAAAGCCTAATTGTTAGCATGTGATACTAATTTAACATAATTTATATAAACTGAGCATATTTCCCTCCCTATAAATAATAATGATTTAAAACAGCTTCTCTTATATCTTGGGCTTTGACCGCAACTCGATCTACCTTTCCGATGCTAAGTCAGCCGCAGAGAGAGAAGCGCGGCCCTAAAGCAGCTGCCTTTGAAATCAGCTCACTTGTCACTGCTTCAGCTCAGGGCAGGAGCATCTTAGGCTTTGCTTGTTCAGGGTAGCGTTTGTCACACAGAGTCACGACACGCCAGGGTGTTAGGGTTTATATTGTTGCTAAGTAATAGCAGACAGTTGTGAATTATTTTTTTCTTGGGGGAGGAGACAAAGCAGAGTCCCGACCATTCTGGAATCGCTCCGCTGTCTCTCTCTCCCCAACATGCTGAGAGGCCGCCTTCAGTAGCATCCCAGCGAAGTGCCCTCTTGCAAAGAGGGCAAGAAATGACACATAGCCTGCGGTCCCATCACCTAGTCTCAGGCCTGTGATCCAGGCATGGGCAGTGCAGTCAGTGGTGGGGCCCTGTGCACGCCTGTGCTGGCTTTGTGGCCTGATTTCGAAGTTTCTTCCATGTTAATTTTCACTTTACTGATGGATAAAATTTTAGTAAAGAAGAAGCCCAAGGCAGATAAAAAGACTTAATGTATCTACATTGTGCTCTGATCAAGAAAGATGCCATGAACATTTCTCTTGGTACCAAAAACATGATAATCTAAATTGAGTTTATACTACCATCCTCTGAGTATTAAGGAAAGCACATGAGAACAATAAATTCTGTGTATTATTTTAGCAACTAGATGTAAGTTATCTGTGTTTATTTTCCAGTAGTATCTTCCACATGCTTATTAATATTACCTGGAGGGGAAAGGTTTGGAGGGGAAAAAAATAATCAAGATTCCTTTTATAAAATAATGATCAACATTTAAAATTTTTGGTTAGGGTATTTATTTTGTCCTCATCAAGTGACAGGATTTGGGGGAAGATATTAAGATTGGTTCCCTTTATTGTAAACGATCTTTATAAAAAGCAGGTCAAGGGGAAATGCTGTGGCTTTATTTGGGAATTTGAACTCTGAATGCCCCTAGAGAAGCTTGGATGTGACCTGTTACACCAACAGCAAGGGCAGAAATAGTCAAGACTCCCCAACATAAGGCAAGTGGGTCAAGTTAGAGCCAACAGTTCCAATTCCATGGAGTCAGCCTGGTTCTTCTGTAGACTTCAGAACAGACCAGGATTTCCAACTGTGGTGAGTAACCATGATAAAGGAAACAGCTACCATGTAAATAGTGTTTCCTCAGTGTCAAGCATGTCATTCCATTAAGACACTGAATTCTCATGGCAGTGTTGAAGCAGATTATTAATATTCCTTTATTGTCACAGAAAGAAACTTACTCAAGATCATGCTGATGGTAAAAGGCAGAGCTGAGATTCAAACTCAGGCTGTCTGGCTTCAGCATCTGTGCTCTTAATTGAGGCATCCCATTCAGTTTGATCCATCAGCCCCGTTAACCTAAGATCGGGGGCCGACAAATTATGCCCATGGCTAAACCCAGCCCACTCCTTCTTTTTGTACAGCCTGTGAGCTAAGAACAGGTTTTACATTTTTTAATTTTTTTAAAGACATATAATATTTTGTAACATGTAAAAATTACATAACATGTAAATTCCAGTGTCCATGCAGTTTTATTGGAACACAAGCTCGTTCATTCGTTTACGTATTATCCAAGTCTGCTAAAGTGGCAGAGTTGAGCTCTGACAGAGACCAAACGGCCCGCAAAGCCAAAAATATCTACTACTTGGCTTTTCACAGATGGAGTTAGCCTGGGGTCATCATTGAGCCACAAAGGAGAAGCAGCAGGAGTCACCAGAAACAAAGAGGGCGCTCTCAGAATGGATCAAATCAGGAATTAGGAGCCGCAGTTCATCCAACTACCTCAAGTACAGTGAGAGAAATTGCCAGTTACAGCCTCGTCCAGTGCTGGCCTATTGGAATGTGCCAGGACACTGCAATTTCAGAATCCTCTGTGGCAGCTTCTTTCTTACAAGAAGGATGAGAAATGACAAGACAAGGAGGGGACGAAATGGTGAGAAGGTAATCTCATGTGATGTTTTTAAACACTTTGCAAAATCAATTTTTGTAATAAGCCTGATTTCAAAGGGATGGGGAGAAATAATACGAAGATCACTCCAATAACACTCCTACCTGGGGACAGGACAAGGCAGGATAGTGTTTTTTGGAAAATTTAAGATTTCTAAATAAAACTCTTAAAGAAGAAACTCTCAAAATGAGCAAAAGAGTTCCGTGGTTAATTTTTTTCTAAGTATAATAAAACTCCTCCAAATAGTACATGCTGAAAATAAAACCGGACCTTGTTATTTTTTTTTCTAAAGATTAAACAATTTTTTGAATGAAGTTAACTATTTTGGGGTACAAATTGTATTTTAATACAGTCGTTCTTTAGTATCTGAGGGGAGTTGGTTCCAGGACCTCCACGGATATCAAAATCAGCAGATGCTCAAGTCCCCTATATAAAATGGTGTAGCATTTGCATATAATCTATGCACACATTTCTGTATACTTTAAATCATCTCTAGATTACTTATAATACCTTGTGCAATGTAAATACTATGTAAATCGTTGCTGGCTCACCGCAAGTTCAAGTTTTGCTTTTTGAAACTTCCAGGAAATTTTTTTTCAAATATTTTCTATCCATAGCCAGTTGAATCCGAGGATACAGAGGGCCAACTGTATTTAGAATTAATGAAATATTCTCAGAGGCATCAAGTGTTAGAAATAGGTACATGTGCCTGTTTTGGAAGCAAGGGTGGATAAAGCATTTGTTCTTGAAAATGTTTTAAATACTTGCTCTGGAATAACAGTTGCACTATTATTTCACAGAACGTCCATAAAATGGGTTTGTTCAGCAGGGAGAAGTTTAAAGCTAACTTATACCAAATCTGAATCAGTGATTTTAAAGTAAGTTTCAACGACCAATTATTTCAGCCATCACCCCAAAAAAAAAATTGACAAGCTTCAGGAAATGTCTACGCGGGGCCAGGTGACTCTGGGTTTCATAGACCAGAATTGAGATGTAAATGTTCCATGAGACTCCACTAACATTCCGTCTTAGTGCCACGTTCTCTGTTAGATCCTGGAGTTACCAAGACGACAGGACACAGTTACTACACTTACCTGAATTCTCAACTACAATTCTCTCACTTATTCTATATTTCTACTTTTGGGGGAGAGAGGGGAGTTCTTTTCTGGTGATTCTGTCCCACCTGGTTGTAGCAGTCACTCCCACTGCCAGACTTACATTTACAGGAGGATTTTTAGGGCATCATTCCACACGTCCTTTCTGGTCTCCTGAGTGGAACTGTGCATCCTGCTGGCATGATACCAGGTAGATCAGTTACCCATTGCCATAATAATGCTACACGATGAACACTTACAGCACTTCACTAGATTATCACAAGACACACTGATTCAGCCCCTGAGCCTATGAGGTTAGACTGATGTGGCTGCACTCAGCTGAGGCCTGGCTGCAGGTTGGTACCTAGACTTGCTGTTTGGGATTGGGCTCGCTTACCTGTCTGGGGGATGGCTGACTGTTGGCGGATCCGGGTTGGTCCAGCTCAGCAACCTGCAGGCTAGCCCAGGCATGTCCTTCTCATGGAGATGACAGAGGGCAAGAGTGAGCAAGTCCAAAAATGCAAGGTGCTTTTCAAGTTTCTGCCAGCATCACAACAGCTGATCTTCCATTGTCCAAAGTAAGTCGCACAGCCAAGCCCTAGGTCATGAAGGAAGGGTCATAGGAAGTGACGTGGCAAATGGTATGAATGCAGGGACTGGCAAAGTCCCGGGCCACATTCTGTCACCTACCATGCATATAAGCAACACTAAGAACCCCAAATGTAAATTATTTTCATTATAAAATATAGAAGTGGGAATATATAGATATATAAATGAATCACAGTGTGCAACAATTTCTAAACATCATCTGATATTTTAGATCTTAACAAAGTGATAAACTCCATCTGTTGAATTTAGTCATTTCATGATACCTCCCACAGTCCAGGAGACACTTGGAGACAGGGTAGCTTGAAAGCCAGGTCCCAGGAGGACGGTAACTACAGGGCTTGACGTTGAGAACAGCAGGAAATCTGCCCCTTCTCGCTTAGTTGTTGGAAGCAGGTCAGAGGTAAACACAGACACCTCCAATCACCAGTTAAGCTAAAAGAAAGCTCACATTGCGTCCAGCAGCAGAAAAATCCTGGACTTCCCCTCCCAGCAACGGGAGCATGTCCGGTAAGGGGAACTCACATCCCTTTTTGGATATAACTGCATATAACTTCTATCTTCTGGATAAAGTAAAATGAGACCAACCAAAACTAGACTAGAGTAAGCTCTGCTACCTCAGTGAGTGTGTGGGTGAGGACGGCGTTCAGGAAGCAGAGGCATCTGGGGGTACCACGGACAACCAGAGAACAGGCAAACGGGCACAACTTATGTGGCCCTTGGTGACAAGAAGTAACCATGCTTTCCTTTTTCACTTTTTTAATTGTGGTAAAACCCGCCTAACTTGGGATCCACCCTCTTAAAATTTTAAGTACTCAGTACAGTTTTGTTAACTGTAAGCACAATGTACAGCAGATCTCTAGAACTTTTCCGTCTTTTATGACTGAAACTTTATACTCAAGAAACAGTGACTCCCCATGTCCCCCGCCCCCAGCAGCCACCATTCTACTTTCTGTTTTTGTGAGGTTTTCTTTAGATACATCTTATATGTGGAATCACGCAGTAGTTGTCCTTCTGTGACTGGCTCTCTTCCCCGGGCATAATGTCCTCAAGGTTCATCCATGCTGGAACATATGGCAGGATTCCCTTCTTTTTATGGCTGAATAACATTCCATTGTGTGTATACACCACATTTTCTTTACCTATTCATCCACTGATGGACATTTAGGTTGTCTTCACCTGTTGGCTATTGTGAATACTGCTGCAGTGAACATAGGTGTGTAAATCTCTCCTTAAGCTCCTGATTTCAATTCTTTTGGACGTACACCCTGAAGTGGGATTGCTGGAACACATGTTAATTCTATTTTTAATTTCTTGAGGCTCTTCCATACTGTTTTCCATAGTGGCTGCACCATTTTCCACTCCCACCAACAATGCACCAGGATTCCAGTTTCTCCACATCCTTACATTTGTTATTTTCGGGTTTTTTTTTTTAACGCTAACAGATGTGATGTCATATCTCATTGTGGCTTTCATTTGGGTTTCCCTAATGATTACTGACATTGAGCATCTTTTCATAGACGATGCTTTCTTACCCATGTAATGGCTAGGTACCATATTTATTTCATATTATTGAAAAAAGGATAGGTTCTTTTGGTATAGTTTCCTAGGAGTCCCAAACGCAAAAAGCTATTTCACTTTTTAACATTTATTTCAGATTTTAATAATGATAAAATAGATAACAAAACTGCTTAACAGAAAACTTTAAAAATTTCTATTCGTTCTAGAATTAAGGAGTTTGTATCCACTATCAGCAAAATTAATCTTCAGTTTAACATTTCATCATGCCTCAAAAACATGAATCGTGCTACCATGAGCAATTTTCCACCTCTGGAAAAAAAAAAAAGGAAAAGATGGGAAACAAAAGAAATTCACATGATGAGGGAAGTGGTCATTCCACACTCAGACTTTGACGAGTGCCGAATGAGCTGTGCTTATAGAATTACCCGGCTCACTTTGACATGTAACATATGTCACGCACTAGCCCTGCACTCAGGACATTCTGTATAATTTTGGAGCCCAGTGCAAAATGAAAATGCATGGCCCTTGCTCAAAATGTATTAAGACTTCAAGACAACAAATGCAGAGCATTAGACCAAGTTCCAGGACCTTCTAAGCAGAGGGTAATCACATATCCATGAATCCAGCCCTGACCCCATGGTAAAAAGAAAAGAGACTCTATTTGGAACACCTGTCCTATGTCAGGAAACTACGCATAATCAGCTCAGTGCTTTCAAAGCGACAGGAGGAGTGCCAGTGAAGGCCTGGACAGATCTAATGGGGAAAGAGGGTCCACAAATTGCACCTATTGATATCACAGCTTTTTCTAGAAAATTCCAAAGAATCACTTAATCTCATCACCCACCCAGACATTCACTTTGAGACTGGAGTTTTGCAGTCAGCCAGAGCCAGGCTATAGAGCAGAGTTACTTCCCTCCTTGTCATAATTAATTTCTTGGCAGTCACCGCCAAGGGAGAGAAAAGTTTCTGAGAATTAGATGAGCTCACAGTATCCCCAGTCAACGTGAACACATAGTTCAGGGGAGACTTTGGGGAGACCCAGATCAAGCCTGGCTTTACCACACTCTATATAAATTATTAACCTTAAGCAATGAAATGGTTACGAGGATGAGAGAGGAATTTAAATGAACAGTGGGAAGTCATCTTTCTTAAGTGCTTGCAATTAGCAATGATCCCAGGAATTTCACAATATGAAAACAGGCATTTTGAGAAACCCAGCTTTCCAGTGCGCGCTTACCGCTTAAGTAATCAGAGGCAGTTTCCTATAGCTCATCGTGATTTACAAAGTGAGCCAGTGGCCTTTTCATTTATTATTGTTGTCACAAGATTTATTTCTTCTACAACTGCTTTCATTTAAAAAAAAAAAACCATAAGCAACAATACAGTCAGAACCTGAGTGGTGTCTTCGATTCTGTAAATTACACTAATGACATAATTAATAACTTTGGTATAAAAACCATGGCTGTCAGATGGACACATCGTCCAGTCAATGGAACAAATCATTTTCTCTTATATTTAACGATTCAAGAAATGAATGTAAGAAAACAGAACTGTCAATGAATGAGGGTGTCACATATATTGTCTCTCTTATCAGCAGAATTGAAAACAAAGGTTCCCTCTATTGTGTTAATTTCAACCACTGGAAATCAATTGTTGTACACAGAGGGAGGGGGCTGTATAGGGTGGACATCAATGTCTGATTTTTATATTGTAAAATCCCAGCAGAATTTATAAGTATTGCCTACCACGGTTTTTTGTGATTGTCCAAATACTCCACAAATCAAGATGAATTTACTTCATTCGGGAAAATTCTTATTCTTTAAACCATGTCATATACAATAGGGAGGTCAGAGAATCTGAGACCCCAATTCCGTCCCACCTAACTTTGTTGTGTGTCAGCTGGGCTCTTGGAAAGATTGCAGACACTGTGCCAGATGTGGGCGGTGCAGTGAAGCTGTGATGTTTGCAAATGTGGATCCTTGTTTTTGATTTGAACAGGTCTGCAGAGCTGTGGAGGGCTTCTCTGAACTAAGAGCTACCCATGAAGAACATGCAACGCAACCACAAGTTCTCTCTGATTGCTCCTTTTACGCCTAAGCACAAATGCTATAACACCACCTGCACTGCTGCCGTCCGCTTGAGGGAATCGGAAGAGCAGTTAGGAAATAGGACGGAAGCAGCAGCGTCTGGAATAACAGGCTAACATTCCACGTTAACCCATTAAAGACATGGTCTTCCTTCTTAACTTCCTGTTGTCTTTAAGTTCAATTCTACCTCATAAAAATGCCTTTATTGCTATTATGGTACAAGGACCACTTCTTAAATTGTCTTAACTTTTTCCATTTGCAATGTCATTTGATTTGGTCGTTTCAGCACCTCTATTACCTCGAGATAAGGGTTTCATTGACGCCATACTGTCTCCACATCCCTACCCTTCCTACACCACACACCGCATACCACAGCCAGGCTAAGCATCCTCTAAAACACAGCCGCCAGCATGCCCTTCCCCTGCAAACACCCCAGAATGGCTCCCGCAGTCAGCCGGCTAGATCTCCACGTCTCCACAGCCCTTTTCCTCATTCAGGTCCGAGGAGGAGCATGGGTTCAGGGTCAGGACCACGGCTTTCATTTGCAAGGATTTGATTTTATGAGCTCACCCAAGGTTATTGACACCAACCAAACTCACGAGGCTGAGTTGTAAGTCAGAATAAGTTTTCAAGGAAAATGTAGCCTCTAGGGAACTCAAATCTTTCTTCAGCTGCTCAGGGTACTCTTTAGAAAGAGACTGAAGACTGCTTAGTAGCTGGATAGTTAGAGCCTTGGTTAGTGAACAGCATATTTGTGTGATGATAGCCAGTATTAGTCAGAAAAGGTCTATTGCGTGTCTACCAGCTGTCAAGTGCTGTTCCAAGCCCTTGGGGGTCATCTGTGAACAAAAATGAGGTAAGGTAAGTTCCTTGTGGAGCTTACAGTCTCTGAGGAGAGACAGACAATAAAACAGTAACTCTGATAAAACAAGTAAACTATATAGTATGTGTATGTGTTGAATTGTGTCCCCCCAAAAGATATGTTGAACAATTACAAAACTCTCTGATTTTTTTGTAATGGCTGTATAATAGCACATTGTATGCATATACCATAATTTAATTAATCTGACCCTTACTGATGGACTTTTTTTTAAGGTTGAAATGCACAACTTTCTAAATAATAGTAGTTAAAACAGCAACCACATATATACCACTTCCTATTTGTTTGGCACTTTTTTAAAAGAACTCATTCACGTCTCACAACGTTCCAATAAGGAGATATTATTATCATCCCAAGTTTTGGGATAAAGGCACTGGGGCACAGAGAGGTCAAGCAACTTACTCAAGATCACACAGCTGAGTAGTGATGGATCCAGTCAATCCTCTACAACTTCTCTATTTCTCTGTGCCTTGTGGAACTCTGCAGGATAAAATCCTAGAAGCAAAACTGTTGGATGGAAAATTGTATGTGTTTCAAAACTTGATTGATGATTTCAGGTTGCCTTCCAAAGAGGTGGTGCTAATTAACAATTTATAATATGAGAGAGCTTCTCAGAGTATGCTCTTTACCAAGGCTGATGGGTGAGGAATGGTATCTCATCTGTGTTTTAATTTCCATCTCTTTAATTGTGAGTAAGATCAAAATTTTTTCCTGTGTTAATTGGCCACTTGTGTGTGTGTGTGTGTGTGTGTGTGTGTGTGTGTGTGTGTGTGTACTGTCTGTTCATGTCCTTTGCCCATTTTCCTTTGGGTTATTCATCTTTTTTTGTTAACTCATATGAGCTCTTTGTATATTAATATAATTAGCCCTTTGTCATATATGTTCCAAACAGTTTCCTCAGTTTTACTTATCTTTTGCATTTAAGACTTTTTCCTATACGACCATTTAACAAATAGACCATTTTCCTTTTATAGTGTCTGATCTTCCTGCTCCCCTTAGTAGAACTTCAAAGATCTTCTTTTCTCTGTACAAGGGTAAGTTGAACAAAAATACTCTCAATTTGCATTTCCAAACAAATTTTATTCCAAATGAGTTGCATATTTTGACTTCCAAAATGATATTATTTCAAAAATATCATTCATGATCTATCTATGGCCAAGTGGGATGAATGGCATTACGTTTTGCTGGCTTCACGATTGGTTAAAATGTTTTATGCTATTAATATTAAGAAGAATGCAACCTAGAAGGAGAAGATGGTCTTCAGTGGCATGCCGCTGGTCTCTGTATTTAGTTCCATCCTGTTTGATATTTTATTAAACACTGGAATTAGAATAAAATAGGCATGCTTGCTAGATTTAGTAATGGCACAAATTTGGAAGGACGGTTAACATACTAGTTGTCAGATACACTCAAATTGATTTTGACAGCTTGGCACAATCAGCAAAACTAATAGGATGAAATTTAATAGGGATAAATGAAAAGTTCTGCAGTGAGGTTAAAAAACGCCTGGCCAATTAGAAGATGAGAGACACCTGAGCCATTGGCAATTCAAATAAAATTGTTTAGGGGGTTTAATTTAATGAAAATTCCAATAGTGGCCCATAGACAGCGTTGCCAGAAGAACTAATGAGATCTTAAATTACATTAATAGAAA